ATTTTTATCTGGATTTTTATAAAACGTCGCAGAGAATTTTCGAATTGGTATATTTTTGTAACGAAAAAATTGGGGCATGGTAACCCCCTGCAATCGATAGGTGCTTTGAAAAATCGGTATTAATTGGCACATTAAATTTGAAATAAAATTATAACAGAAAATCTCTGAATTTCTATTCCCCTGTAACGAAAATATTGTCCAGTGCGAGGGGTTATTTTTTAAAAATATTTCTGACCATTGCGGTATATAGTATTAACTTCCTTCTGTAAAATCAAGTTTGTTTTGTGATCGTGTGATTTTTCTCTGCCGAGATATTCTGCTTTGAAGTTGCCCGAAAATTACTTTGACAAACACAACATATATAATAATTTATTTTTCCAGGAATTTTTTTACTTTTATTTGGTAAATATTATTTTGTAATTAAAATTCTTCCTTATTGGTAGTAAATTAAGTAATTGGTAGTAATTGGTAGAACGTTCTGACATAAATTATATATGTAACGAGCTAATTGATTCCATTTTTGGATTATTATGAAGAATACTCGAAATTTTCTTAATTTTTCTTTTTATTTATTTTTTTTTTCCTTATTAAAATGAGAAGAAAATTGATTTCATCCCTTAAATCAGAGAATGGATATGATACGACAGAACAGAGCAGAATATATGGCTGACCCTACAGTTATTAAAACTGTCATGCAAATATTGTAAATGTAGCAAATATCGATCAGCAACAGAGTGTAAAACTTGTTTAACACATGTAACAGAAAATATGCAAATGCATACGGCACAACGTACTATTTAATAAATACAATGCATACATGTATATATTATCGAATAAACGCGTGTATAATAACGCAATAAATGGGAAGAAAAATGTGCAAATGCTGAAACAACGTGCAAAAACAGTTAACAAATTAAAACGTAACGAAAACAGCAAGCGTGGAATAATATTTCACCTGCAGCAGACATTTTTATCGACATTTGCTTGGACTTGCCGATTTTCAAACTCGCATAACCGTAACGCAAATAAACCGTGTTACGAAATCAACTTCAAAATTCAAAATCGCGCAGAAATACACCTCGTGAAATATGAATTAGGTGCATAAAATAAATAACAGAAATAATACCATAAATAAACAGGAATAAATCACCGGAAGCAAGAAATCGAGAAAAATCATGGAAATGAAAAGATACAGATGAAAACAACGAATATAAAATTATCTCTGCAGTGATGTATTCTGTACATAACCTAATAAACCATATCTAATAAATTTTACAATAAAATATACGTAGGACGAGAAATGAGCAGTAATAAATTAAATAAGGAACAACGAACATCTAATATAAAAGGTGTAAACATCTTTAATAAGGTTAACACGAAATATCTAAACCTAACCTATAAATTTACCTTTAATTTATATTTAAACCAGATCTAATAAATTTTACAGTTTACAGTCCCAAATACTGATAAAATATATATATGTAATGAGAAATGAGCAATAATAAATTAAAAAAGAGACAATGAACATGTAATACAAAAGGTGTAAACACCTTTAATAGGGTTAACACGAAATACCTAAACCTAACCTACAAATTTACCTTCAATTTATACCTACACCAAATCTAATAAATTTCGCAGTCCTCAATACTGATAAAATATATATAAAACGAGAAATAACCTAATACAAAAGGTGCAAATACCTTTACCAGGGTTAACGCGAAATATCTAAACCTAACCTACAAATTTTCCTTTAATTTACACCAAAACCGAATCTAACAAATTTTACAGTCCCGAATACCGATAAAACATGTATAAAACGAGAAATAAGCAGGCATAAATTAAAAAAGAGATAACAAACACCTAATACAAATCATGCAAGCACTGCCAACAAGGTTAACTAATTAAGTTATATTTAAAAGAGGGAAAAAAAAATATGCGAAATCATTATGTCGCGAATATTCCAGCAACCAGCCGCAAAAGGCTAATGGATGCGTGAGAAAAATACAGGAAACGTTCCTTTTCATTAACGTTCCGGTGCAGAACTGTTATTTACTACACGGCAATCTGCGAATGGCGCGCGATGTGTTAAAGAACTAATGTATTACGCTCTCATACAATACGTTCGAGCGTAATGGGTAATTTATATCGCGATGTGTACGTTTACCTTGCGCGAAATAAGCATCGGGTGCAATAAATTTCTATTCCGCGTTTATACTCGATCATTTGCAACACTCCGTGATATAATTTCGTTTATACAGGGTGTCAACCTTGTCTCATACTGTTTATAATGATATTTAATAACACCCGTTATTAATTCCCGTAAATAAATATTCATTTTCAATCAGCCGTGCATTACACTCCCTTCCTACAAATATCCCGTTTAAATCTCGCCATTTTTCATTTCAATTACGCAGTAATAAAGTATCATGGTTACATTCGATCGTATAATAATATTCAACATCACGGTCTCCTGTTATTGCTTCTCAAAAATGAACGTTCATTTTCGATAATTAATACCTTCTAGTTGACACAATCGATTTCAATATACCCTCAAGGTTTAATACGAAAATTATGATAATAATTTCAAAATTAAAATTATTATCATAATTTTAATATCACCGTTTTTTCTAAAAAACAATAACATGATTTACGTAATAAAATTCTACTTTGCATTTATATTATACTTAATCATTTATACAACGCACTTTTCACACTTTCGTTTATTTAAAATGTCAGCCTGGTTCGATATTATTTATAATTAATACGCGATATTTAACGACGTAATTAATTCTGAAAAATGAATATTCATATTCGATAATGCATCCATTCTCGTTGATATAATTGACGAGAAATATGATTCAAAATTTTGTATTTTTTATTTCGGAGCGATAGGATAGTTCCGGTTTGATTATGTAAGAATTATCACGAGATAGCGCTGCTGAGTCCTTTTCGCGTTAGCGTCGATCATATCCGAAGTGCAGAGTAGTTCTTCGTACCTTCCGCTTTAACCTGACTAACAGGAGCGACTCCCAGGACGAGGTGAACGATCGACAGGGTGGTGGTACGTGACCTTTTGCTCGAAGGATAACGGCAGGGGTGAAGCGGGGACTTTGCCCCTCGGTAACGGGGGTGAATGCACGTACGACCCATCTGCCCCCACCCCTTTCCGCGAGCACCGAACTATTCAAGTTCCCGGGGTCGGCTAATTAATAATCTTTCCGGTCAACTCGGCCTGCGTTCGATCGGCGCTGGTTAAGGAGAAAAAGCTCGGTCATGCACTGACAACAAGCTAATTCCAACAACTTCCCAAGTTCCTTGCGTTTCGTTGCAACCTATTTGTATGCAACCCGCCCTGGAGCAGTGCACCGAGCGCAGGATCGATCCGTGTTTCGGGAGCTTTTTCATCTCGACCGTATTCCACGCGCGATGCATTTAAGCTGCCGATTTCAATAGCGACGTATTCCGAAATATGTTTCGTTGTAATGTTCTAGAGATTTTTCTCGTCGCACCATGTGCCTTTGTGAAAATAAATTTCACGATAACAAACACTGCGGATAAGTGAATTTTATTTCACCACAGAGTCGTGTTAAAGAAAGGCGTGTTATGTTCTATTTGCGTACGTGATTTAAGATTCATTTGCAATGGTTACAGCCGCAGAGATGCGAGAAATGAGTTAGTAATTTCTGTGGGAAAAATATCTGCGGACTGTTTTACCTACGGAACAGAGGGAAATTTCCGATGTAGTTTACGAAATGGCCGCGTGGAGCCACTTATCAATAACTGCCCACGTTAAGGATTTATGAAGATAATTTTGTTTAATGCAGTAACTGATTAAATTGGGATTTTTAACTCACTTACAGTTCTCACGAGGTTTCAGTATATGCAGGATTAATCAATGAATTCTTCGATTCGTGTTTCAGGAGGTTACTGGTCCTTTGATATTCCAGGCTTGCTTTTCATGTAACCCTTTTAAAGATTATAACCACAAATGAGTCTGTAGTACGATAAAATCACGAGCAAGATGTAAGATAGACCTATCAACACAAACGAGGTATAAGATAGATTCATTACCTAATGCATCGTTTTTGTCGCACGCATTGGGCGTTCTAGAAACTCCTATCCAATTTGTTTTCAACGTCACGTTCAATGTTGCCGATTCAGTATAGAATAAGATTATAACATTTGTATTGGCTAGAATTACAAGTAAATTTAATTATGAAATTAGATATAAGCTTTAGAATAGGCTAACTTATTGGAAACAAAAATGAGTTTGCTTTTTAAGTGTTCCTAACCTTCTTAAAGATACCGATATTATAAATATTCCGATGATATTATGTTAATATTTGTAATTTTAACAAAATTGCACTTAAACTTATTTTTATCAAACAAATTTCACATAATGTTAGTATTTTTTAATTTGCGACGATATATCACGTATAAATTCCTAATTATTGATCACAAAACGTTAAGAATTTTAACAACGTAATGTTTACACGACGATATAAATCCGAGGCTATACGAACTTCGACAGTTGAATTACACGTAATTACAAAATTTCTCGTTTTGCATAACAGAGGGCACAACAAATCTTTTCTCCACAGTCGGTATTTCAGAATTTAGTCTTACAAGGTAATATGTGTAACTTATACATTGTTTACACTAATAAATTTGTTTTATATTTTGTAGCATTCTACTTCGTAATTACATTATTTAAGAAAGTTATATTCCTATTTTTATTAAACGGAATTAATAAACAGAAGAAACACTCATATGAAGAAAAATGAACACCATCTGATAATATATCAAGTGTCATCGATGATAGAGATAAGAGAAATATTGATTTACAAAATTATATTTGAAATAAAAATAAGATATTTTTGCGCGATGATTATTAATAAATTGTACCTATCGTTATTTATGTATCTTACTTAATGACTTGCAATAGATATGAAAAATTTGTATTAGATTAATAACTCGCATGAGTCACTTGTTTAATTGCTCTTTCACCGGCACAACAGTGGGTATGTTTGACTTGTTCGAAATTTACGACTAATTTAATATAAAATTACTAATAGTTGTCTAAATAAAATTCAGAAAATATTCACTTTTATAACATTTTTTACACTTATTCGATTTATGTTGAAATTATTTTTGCAACCAATTTTTGTTTCTAACATTTTTCAATTTTAGTGATAGTTATTTGCGCTATGGCTGTTTTGATATGTTGTAATTATAATCCACCTGTACTGTATGTTGGATCTTCTTCGTATAGAGTTTGTTCTATTTGTAATTGTATCATTCGTATAATCTTCTGTGCACGTTTCGAATCAGTGTAAAAAATGCTATTAAGATGTGTATTTTCAAAATTTTGCCTGGACAGTTACTAGTAGTTGATTTTCGCCGGAATGTTCCTCCTTAAATAAATTATGTTTTAGTGATAGTAATACTTAAAGGTATGAATTGAATTGGTTTTTGTTTAAGACGTAGCACTGTCAAAGCTTTGTAGAATATAAATGATGGTAGAGGTATCTAACATAATACTAATAATTATTGCCATACCAATCGTTGCTTTGTTTGTGCAATATGCATTTTTCCGAAGAAAACTAAAGGACGTTAACAACAAACATGTTGTTGTAAGTAACGAAGACTTAATATGTACCTAACCTCCACTGAGATTACTTATTGACACAGTACTGTTAAAACGCGAATAAAACAGTAAAATTTTATGTAAATAATATAAAAAGATTATTAATTCTTATTTTTATCGTTTCGTTTATGAATTATTTCTTTTTATAAATATTTACTTATAAATAATAAGAATCTAGGTAGTTGTTTTCAAACTAATTATAACTACATGCCTTTATAAGTTGGAAATATTTATGAAGATGTTATATAAAACATTTCTAATATTTTTTTTTATTAGGTAACTGGTGGATCGAGTGGTATAGGAAAATGTGTTGCAATTCTTGCTGCCAAGCATGGAGCACACGTAACAATAATTGCAAGAGACATCCAAAAGTTAAAAATTGCAAGAAATGAAATCATTCATGCATGCAGAGACAAGGATGTTCAAAAAGTGGAATATCTATCATTAGATATTGGTGAAGATTATAATGCGGTAGAAAAAGCTTTTAACGAGTTAGAAAGAACTATGGGTCCGATATATATGTTGGTTAACTGTGCTGGAACTGCAATTGGTGGCAAAATTGAAGATACCTCGATAGCAGACTTACAAAATATGATTAATACTAATTTCTTAGGATCATATTATTGTATAAAAGCTGTTATCCAAAGAATGAAAGCTTCTCAAGAAGGAATCATTGTATTAACTTCTTCTCAGGCTGCATTATTAGGTATGTACTGCAATATTCAAGTTAAATGTGTTTGTATTCTATACCCTACTTTTAATATTTCTGTTTTTAGGTATATTTGGCTATTCAGCTTATTGTAGTACAAAATTTGCACTTCGTGGTCTGGCAGAAAGTATATCTATGGAAGTTGCACCATATAATATTTCTGTAACTCTTAGTTTACCTCCAGATACCGATACTCCAGGTTTTGCCATAGAAGAATTATCTAAGCCTCTTGAAACAAAGCTTATATCTGAAACTAGTTCTCTTGTCAGTCCAAAAGTAGTAGCAAAAGGACTATTTAAGGATGCATTGGTAAAAGAAAATTAGAATTGTATATCAATGCAATTAATGATAAATAATTGATAGACTAAAATATGTTTTAGGCTGGAAAATTTTTCTCTTCTATTGGTGTGGAAGGATTTATGTTAACTGTTTTATGTTCCGGAATGTCGCCATTTCATTCGATTCTAGATCTACTTCTACAGTCGACGTTGATGGGTATTTTTCGGCTTGTAAGTGCCTACTATCTTGTACATTTCCAAGAAATTATTCGGAACTGTATGAAGACTCGCAATAGAAATAAAAGGTCTGAATAAAGTTTTTTTTACTAGTTAATGTAAAAGAATTTATATAATGAACAAAATATACACCATTTATAACTTTTTCGATATGTGCATAATAAATGTGCAACTACAAAAATCGCTGTTTTTTCTTATCAATGTGACCAATTCATTGACACGTTTTTTTTTTTATTTTAAGGATTCAAAATTTTCCTCTTAATAAACTACCTACAGTGAACTCCTCAAAAGATAATAGAATAAGAATTTAAATAAAAACGAAGTAGTCGATTACGCAAAGGTAAAAAGACACATTACAATCAATAACGGTTTGGCTTACTTTTATTTAGTATCCCGTAAGTTCATAGTATAATGTTCTTCATTAAGCTTTATGGTTCTTACACACATAGAACGGGACAGTTCACCTCGTCCCTGCTGTCACGATACTTTGAAAAAACGGAAACGCTGAGACTCTGTGTGTAATGTATATTCCGATGCGGACGATGCCCCACTGATTGATAACACACGTATCAGGCATTTATCGATGTAGAATATTTTGAATAATTCATTAGTTCTGAATTCTTTCGGAAAGGAAAAAAACCCGCACAAAGCATCGGTCGATTCAGTTTGTGATTCATGCCCGTGAGAGGGCAACGTCCAGCATATGAAACCGAGGTTGAACGTATGCAGAGAAATGGCGAATAACGAAGATGTGTCTCTCAAAATTGTAAATCGGTAATGATCGGTTTAACATTGATTTATTATCTTTCTCTCTTTCTCTCAGCTCGATCATTTTCTCTCTTTCTCTTTCTTTCTCGATCTTCTTCACGCACACGTTGCACCCACGCGTTCGTACTCCCGCTCGTTTCTCATCCTCCGTTCATCCACGCTATATTGTTTTCCCTCGGCATCATCTCGCGGATTCGTTAAAGTCTATTCCGATTTACCCTAAAGCGCTCAAGGTGTACATTTGAGAATCTGCGAGACGAGGCTTGCTTCGAGGGCCATCTTGTTTCTCAAGTTTTCTCTTCATTTAATTTATTTAGGTTAATTTTAAATCGATGTTCGCTTATTCGGGCGCTCGACAAACGCTTTCCCCCTCCACTCCTTTCTCCGTCGATTATCCCCCACCCTCTCTGATCGTTTATGTTTTAAATCGATTGTACGTTGCGTATGATTTAAATTGTCATCAGCTTCGTCGAACGTTCGAACCGGCAAACGGCACGCGTTAACGATTAATTAGACCCATTGCTACGTGTGATCTGTCGCGCATTGGAAACGTAACTATCGTTATGGAAGGTTTCACGTAAACTGAACACGTTCATGATAGATTGATTTTCTCCTGTCGCGATCGAGACTCCTGATATTAAATCCTTCACATTTCTCATCGAACGGAAATCATCCTATTATTTTCCAGCTTTAATTAATTATTTCTTCGTTGTATTTTTAGAACGAAGAACCGCACGTATCACCGAAGAGTCAGGAGCCTCAATGGCTTCCTATTTATTTGTCGTGCAACAAGGAAAGCGCGACGAGTCGTATATTAATATCGCCGATAATGAGGGATTGATGAAATCTTCTCCGTCCCGAGGGTTTCGATCGACGACTGTATACCTCTTATATATTTTTAACCCTCTACAGCTGAAATTATTTTCCGCCCCATCTAAAAAATACATAAATGCAAAATAATCACGAAAAATATAACAAGATAGAACGCAAATAAGACGATGAGATAATTCATAGATGGAATGGTAAATTCATGATAAACCTATATTTGTTAAGATAAGAAAGAATTAAAAATATTAGTGTTAAAAGAATAGAAGTGGAATCATATTGCTATATATTAAATAAAAATATATAGAATTTGTATATGTTACATACTTACTTTTCTTTTAAAAAATGATCTATGACATATCTTTATGATTATTACAACAGTAATAAGCTGTAGAGGGTTAAAATCACAATAATCATTCATGCACGCTTTTCACGGAATCAATACTCATCCATTATTCCATGAGGAATAAATTCACACCGTACCAGTATACAATGTTGTGTTGACAAAATTTACTTTATGAAATTGTCTTACCGGTAATCCAGTTTCAACCATCGATCACGACTTTCATCGCATAATGCATTAGCAGCATCATGTTCAATGTTTTTCTTCTTTCTTTTCAGTAATCGAATTGGCAAATTCACTTGTGAAACTGACTCCCGGCTCGTTGATTCCGATTTGTCTTCGACAGAATCGTACCGCCATCTGTTACTCGTATTACCTACTATCGAAAAAACTAACTTCGAGTATCTACGCATAAGAGCACATCGACGAACTGTCAGGACGGTCAATCATCACACGAAAAAGGATCTTTCGATATTCGCGTACCGCGACTCTCGGGAACGGGTACGTATTTGTCGCTGGGGCGGATTTGACATAGATGGTATAATCTCTAATTGTAGAGATATAAAATATATATAGCCAAATTCTGTCTACCTGGAATAAAATTTTCAGATATTACACAAATATTTATGCAAATTGGCAGTATACAAGTGGCAGTATGTAATTACAGGTATCAGTTGTTTTTGACTACGACTTGTATCTCTATTTTTATTTCATTGATCTCAGAAATGATATAACCTCGAAATAAGAAGAAAAGTATTACAAGCGTACTTTTGTATTTGAATTTGATATTTCAAATCATTATGAATGAATTTTAGGTTATGTTTCTGACAAAGTGTCACTGATACAGGTTGGATCTCGAAATACTTTTGAAGCAAACAATGGAATGATTAAATATAATTTCGTGTAACTTGCTACGATTGAAAATCAATATCCGTCCCGCGAGCAATCGACAAAACCGAGAATACATAAGTACGTACTCAAGCCTGCAAAGGCGGGCATCTTAAGAACACAAAAATCCGCGACACTTAAGAGCTACTATAGACAATGGTACAAAAATTCAATGCTGCCTACGACGTTAGTATACCTTAGACGACGTTTTTATTTCAATCATCATCATCATTATTATAATCATCACCGCCATCAGAGTCACCATCTTCATCTTTCTCGCCTCCTCTTTGTTATCTCTGTTATAATAAAGGGGCGACGAGGACGAGCGCGGAAATTACAACTTCCTTCTTCCACCTGGCGAGGGGAGGCCCCGGTTGTTGTAAGAAGAAAGGGTGCAGGAAGCGGGCAAGCTTTAATTGTGGCCTCGAGGTGAGCCCTATCTTTAGCCCTTTCTTTTTATCTTTCGTTACGAGTGGCCTCGCGAGGCGCGGAAAGAAGAAAGGGAAGAAACGGTACAAGAAGGATTGTTCCCGGTCGTCCCTTTTTATCTTAAAGTGCGTCATTCGACCAACGCCTTAGCACGTCAGTCCAACGAACAACCCTTTTTTTACTCTTCGCGTGTGTATACGTTCCTTTTTCTTTCATTTACACTTTCACGCTTTCTGTCTCTCTCTCTCTCTCTTCATTTTCTCCCGTTCTTCTTAACTGGTTTCACACGTACACACTCTCCCCACCAATCTTATTCGTTTTCTTGCAAGCATATATCACACGCGTGTAATTTCATGCACACATTCACGTATACGCGTGTACGTCCACACCTGGTTATTATATCAGACAATATAATCCTTCATTTATATCCGTTAGTTCTTACGCTAGGCGTTAATTAGTGTTACATCTAGTCGCGTGTGGCCGGCCCGTGCTATCCAGGAACGCACTGAACACAGCTGCGCTCCATTTTGTTGTCTCGATACACCGATGTGCCGGAAAAAGCATGCGCGACGGTGCTACCCTCTGTGTTCCTTTTCTCTTCTGTATTTCTCCGCACTGTCGTCCGTAAAGTTCTTTTCTTATTCTTTCCCACTACGTTTACGTGTTCCTTTGCTGCGTTCGTTTTTGCAAGCGTTTTCGTATATCGAGAAACACCCGAATGTCTTCGTGATAAATTTTAGTGAATTTCAGGAAATGTTTACGTGTTATCGATCGAGAGGATAAACAGAAGTGCGTGATAGTATGGTAAGCGATCGATTGAAAAGTTGCGTGGAATGTGAGAGGGTAAGACAGATCGAGAAAGTTCGACCGTGAATTCTCTAGTTCTCACAATCAGATGTCTTGAAACACGATCTCGAGCCGGTTAGCACGGGCGGCCAGACCCATTCGAATGCGTTTACGATCCGAAAAATTACACAGTAACGTTATTTATTTTTTTTCTTGTTTCTTTAGTGTAACACGTACGGCATATCGTTAATTAACGTTACGTTATTTATATACTATATATTTACAATCACATGAATCGTAGATATTCTAACGTATCGTTCGTCTCGTTCGACTAATCGACTCGTCTCCTTCCCACTGCCGTCTCATTTCTAACCTGCCCCCGCCCCTGTTTTTCTTTCACTTTCTTCACGATCATTACTCACAATTATCTGTGATTATATCGTCGCGTACATACATAATAAAATGCTTATTCCCAACTGTAACCCCGGTTGTACCTTCTTCATATTTTCCCCGTGTTATTTATTGCGCCGCTTATTCGTGTTCGAGCTGAAACTTGTTCAATATTTTAACACCGTTGTGCAACGTATTCGCGCGCGTACACACATATACATATATATATTTATCTGTCGTTTGTATATATATATTTATATATATATTTATATATAATATAAAAAACAGTATCTCCTAACGCTTGCGAGAAGAAAGCAAATTTATAGGACGCCTCAGGCGACCCAAAAAGCTGTCCGTCCGTATGTTTATACAGCCGAACATGCAGAACGAGAAAACGGTCTGGGTCTCTGTAGAGTCGATTAGAATGATATCTTCCTCGCGGTCGTTTCGAATCGATTCCTGTTTCTTATTTTCCATCGTTACCAATCGAGCGATAAAATAAGACTACGCACGATGTAGATAAGAATCTGCAAATCATGACGTATCCGTAGGTAACCTTACCGATCGATGGAAACTCGTAATAAATTTTTGGAATTAACGAAGAGGGTAAAACAAATCGTTGATACTATTTCTAATGCACAAATGTCGCTGTAGAAGTCTGCATGTCAAATTTGTTGCATATCTAACGTTGGTAAGTTTTATATCGAAGCGATTATTCGATAGCAATCGATAAGTTTTTTCTTCCTTTCCCGCGACCCATTCCGTTACGAAACTTGACACGCATGCACGGATATATAACATTTTCTTATTGGCTCGTGTTTATACTCAATGCGCTTCAAGTACCAAAATTTGTCACCATGGGTCGTCTCGATGCAATCGGTACGCCATCTTAGTTTTTCGGTTTTCGTCGTTAGAAATGATCGCGCCATTAATCGGAACTAATCGCGTATAACGTATTTCGAAATTGAACATCTTTGAATAATACAGGCAGTGACGTTTTACGTTGTAGAATCGATAAACGGTGATAATTTCTGTCGTGATCATCTTGTGTGTGTGTGTGTGTGTGTGATTTTGTGTTTAAATTCGTGAGAATATCCAGGAACTGTGAGAAACTGTAATACGAAGAATTAACCTCGTTGTACAACGCAGATCGCCCCATATTGCAAATGGCTACAACGTTCACGATTTGCCAGCGAGAAGTACGCATAAGGGTAAGCGTGATAATCATTCTTTAAAATTAAACGATTTCTTTTCTACTATATTCCGAATCACTCGTTTAAAGAAGAAACAGTTGTAATTACGTAGTGAGATTCTAATATTCTATTCCCTATCGTGGTTCTTACGAATTTCGATAAATTTCGACTTTTGGTTGACAATCGTGATTTTACACTATCGCCATGCCTCATATTACGCAGCAAAGTTTTTCTAATTTTGTTCATTCGATGTATACGGTCCTCATGGAACGTTCTCGTAGCTTCGAAACGGAATCAAGATAAACGAGGAAATTATTCGTTCGCTCGTACCACATGCTATCAAATGATTTCGACGGATCGTCTGCCGGAGACGATCGTCGAGATGCATCCATATTTCGAGACGATCCCGAGTGCGTGCGGTACACGGTCGAGTATAGACACTATTCGCTAATCGTCTTCCTAGTCGAATATAATTAATCACATCGCTTTCAAGAAGTTCATCGAACAAGTTTCAATTCTATCGAAGCGGCGCGGACGAAGTTCTGTCGGCATTCTACAATTACCATACACGCATTTTTATTATCATTCCCATTTTCGACCCCACCCACCCCGCGTCCTGCGACTCGCTCCCCACCCCTTACGCCTTACCCTCTCTCCTTTCTGGCAGAGTTACACTCGCTCGTCGTCGAGTTAATCTCGATGTGAAAGAAACTACGAAACCCTCCCGACGTCCCCGACAGAATCTCGCGATCGATCACGAAGAATTCGTTACTGTTTGGCTTCCCACGAGATAGACACGAAGATCGCGAAACACCTTTGACAATGATGGATAATGAATAAGAAGGGGAACTTGTCTCGAAATTGCGTACGTCTCATTCGTCCCTTGCTCGGGCTATTGGGATTTTTACACGATCCTTTCTCTCCGTGGTGTCGCTCCGTTAGGCAAATATATACAATGACTTCGTATGACGTTTAGCGATTATTTAGAATGATTGTTTAGAACGATGTAGGTTGCGTAACGAGGGTATAAAAGGTTCTATATCGCGCGTGTTTGAAATACCTGGAAGATCGTGTCTTTATGTATAATTCCTATAAAAAATTCATCTTGCCTCCTCGCGTTTGAAGAAGAGGTTAGGTTGTCCGCGAACTTCGTGTCGTTCGTTACCCCCACTCCTCGAGCTGCCGCTTTTCGACCGTGTGAAGGACTCGCGGCGATTTCGCGAGTGTTCCCCCGAGATTAATTAACCCCTAATTACTAACGGCCGGATCATACTATCTCGACACGCGAAACGCGTTCCCTGTCCACTCCCCTCCGTTTCTCAGATACGTACGCAGATTAAAATCGTCGTTGGGACGCCCGCGATCGTCGCGATCACGTTTGCCTCGATCGCGTTCGACCTCGATCACGATCGAGCCGTTCGAAAAGGGGACTCGATCCTTCGTTGTTGAAGATTTCTCCCTCGGAACACGATAATTTTCCACGAACGATCGCCGCTGTTCCACCGTTGAAAAGAGCAAAACCGACGATCATGCGAAATCATGTTTATGGAATGAGCGGCGTTAAAAATCGGCGATGCAGCGGTCGACCGAGAATTTCAAGGTTTCTTTCGCTTCCCTGCGTCCCGTTGAACGTGAAACGACGCCAGCAGCCTGCCGAAGCGTCGCGTGTCCTACCGCGACGGCCATCTTTGATTCTCGTCGCGTTCTCTTCCCGTGGTTCTTCGCGCTTCCCCCTCCATCGCTCACCGAGTCTTCACGAAGTCTTTCCGAAGAAGCCTTCCACGTGCACTTTCCTCCGTATCTTCTCGCCGGTACGTTTCCCGTGGCGCCTTCTGGGTCTCGTAGCAGGAGATAATCGATCATCTTCCGACATAGTCCTCCACCCGTTTCTGATTATCGTTCCGGCGCGAAGTAAGATGGATTCTCCGAATAAAGAACCATGAGGATCAGAAGGGCGAGGACGAATAGGCGACTGCCGTGACTCGAATACAGCGTCATGATGCCTGCCAGCCACCACAGCGTCGGACAGCCACCCGGTGCCGAGCTGATCCCTCTTTGAATCGCAGCAGGATGCTCGCCTGTATCAGAGAATCGATTTTTATTCCATGGCTACTTTTATCGCGCCGCTAATGCGACGTAGTTAGCAGCTTTCTTTCCACTAACCGGATTTTTTTTTCTCTTTTTTCTTTTTTATGCTACATGCGAATCTTTATCCCCGACCATAAAGACTTGCAAGAATCTTTTTTACGTGCTCCGTTTTAGGTTATGTCCTTGCTTTATGACATCGAGTGATACCCCTATGGGGGATTATTTTTTACTTTTAACTCGATTAAATTCCAGAGATTACTACGGGTATTGAAATATCGCGAGATGGTTCTGCTAACAGCAAATATAATAGTTCACTCGAGCAGCTCCTGAGAGAGTCATAAGGCAAGGAGTTAAGTTCGTCGAACTTGGAGAGTTGGGAGACTTCTTTTCTCAATTTGGTAGGTTCGGAAGTTTTAATAAAGTTGCAGGGTGGTGCGATGTAGCACGTTAGGATGTGTTACTTTTATTTTTGCCCCGTAGCATTTCGGATACAGGTTTAATCGAGTAATTCTAGCGAGTTGTAAATAAGGGTTAGCAAAGTTCTTTGAGACTCGCGTTGCCCCGAGATTGCGTTTATTCCCACGATTGGATTTAGACCAAGAAGTTGATGATGGATTGAACAGAAACCGTGTTAAATTATTAGCGAACCAGTTTTAGCGAGTTGGTACCCCTTCTGTAAGAGTTATTCGCGCTTGCATTTACTATTATATTTGCGCCAAGAGTTTCGAATCGGGACTTCCGTATTAAAATCCGAAGTGAAACTTCCCATCGTGTCTAACGAATTAGCGTCTTTGGAATACAGGCTGACAACTGTGTCACGAAAAATTTCCTCTTTCGAGAATTCCAGAATTTATACTTTCAACAACAATTTCTCATCACGCCATCATCAACGATGCACTGAAACGCAGTGAAAAGAAAAATATTAGATATTATTCCATATTGTCATGTTTTCGTTTTGTTTAATCCCTTGATATAAAATAACGTCTGGGAGACGTTATTCAACTCCCGTGCCATTCCCTGGACTTTCACGTCTCCGAGACGTGAAGAACTGTCTCTGCCAGAAGCCGTGCAGTATATTATCAAACAAATATTTTTCTGAAGGGGTTAAGCAGATTGAAGAATGGTTTACAAAATGAAAGCTGTATATTGAAAATTTCTCGAGTACCCAATTAGAAAAATTCAGAGAATTTCGAAATCTGATAATGCTCGAACAGATAAAGTACACCTGGATTATAAAATTCTGGTAAATTCCACATAAACGGTAGGTCACGCGAAGTCAGGGAAAAATACATTTTTATTCCTCGATACTCACGAAGGTAATTTGAATAATTGGAACACGAAAGTGCTTACCATTCAACACGTGAAGCTGCACGCTCACGCTATCCCAACTGCTAGGGCTGCAGGTGTAATTGCCGGAATCTTCCCGCCTCGCGTTGTGGATCATGAGGCTGCTGATCGTGTTGTCATCGATCCTGTTCGTCTGGATGTCGATCTTGCTTAATTGGTAATCAAGTATGCGGTCACCCTCGTGGTACCAGAAAACGTAGAAAGGCACCTCGAGAGACTGCTTGATCACGCACCGTATGGCTACTCTGCTCCCGGTCTTCACGTATATGTCACGGTCGCCTATGATTTCGATCTTTGGCACTGGAAAATCGACAGTCGGTGTTTATCATCGCCCTATCGCGCGACTCCCACCGCAATAAATAAAAGGAACATCGATGCAACACGTTCCATGACTCGAAATATTCGGAATCCTCACGTTACGCGTGTTAGGGCTAACAAGAGGAACGTTTCCTAGGAAATTAGGTAGCATAGATAAAATTTGAGGGAAAGATCTGTTAGAATCGTTCGATTGGATCGTATTTACCATATCGGTGTAGAATTCTCAACGATCCGATCTCTGCATCGATCCGAGTCAACTGAATACTGCAACAAAGGTACCTTTGTTTTCCCGGTTGAAAGCTCAACGTCTGCTACTTATCGCGGGCTATCTCGAAGCACGGAACGTGTTAATTAGAGAGAAATAACGAGCGTGCCATATTCTCGACATTTTAATCGCTTTCCAAGATCTTTCTTCCACCCCCGGACGATGCATGGGGGTGTGCTGGCGTTGGACGGAAGTTAAAAATTAGCGGTAGGGTCGTCCGTGGCCCCACATGGCGCGGGACGTGTTAAATGCGACGCAAGAAGGTGATCGAACGACAAAGAAAATTAATCACTAAACACACCGAGCGATTATCCGAGCGGACATTTCAGCGCTTACACGTACGAGTTGCGTGAAAGAGAGAATGTCTGTATTTTACGCTCGTATAATTTTTTACCACGTCGTTGGAACACGGTCCGCGAAGTGCTCCGACGATCGATCACAGAGCTCTTCTCTGGCGACATAAAAATAACGCCGGCGTGGAATTGAGCGACGATGGCCGCTGGTCAATTTCTAAATGCACCGTAGGCACACCGACGCGCACCCTCGAAAAATAATTAAATTCGTATCGATGACGCTCGTTATCCATGTACAGCAATTCTCGCGTAGTCTCACCGACGATGTTCAGCTTGATGATGTGACTCTTCTTCGGATCGCTCGAGATTTGGCACTCGTACTCGCCTTCGTCGCGTGCCTGCACGTACTTCACCTGCAGGGTCCAGGTCTCCGTCGACTCTACGTAAAGTGCCTGGAACCTTTCGTCCGGGATAAACATGACTTTATCTACCGAGAGGATATGCGAGTCCCTTCTTCTGATCCACGACACCTTTCACAGTTAATAAACATGTTAATTTCGTCAAACATAACTTACGATAGAAGCATTTCGTGCGAATCTTACAAGCTTTCAGAATATTTAAAAATATTCCGAGTACGTGAAATTTGGTAAAGAATCTTTTCCAGGTTCAGGGAACTTGCAAATATCGAGAATTCGAGGATTTTCGGAAGTTTGGTGAAAAGAGGAACAAAGAATCGCGTTCGTGGTGTATTTGGAATATGTATTTTTGCACGAAGCTTACGCTCACTGTGCATAGCGAAGATATTTGCGTTAAATTTTCAAAACAACGCGATGTAGATAGCAAGAAAGCATTTGTTAGGTAATGCCAGTGAAATTGGAAAATAATTCTACCGTTTGTGCGACATTCGTGATACGTTCGTTAGATATATGGACCACGGTGGCGCTAGTGTACTCGTAGGTCTGCGATATTGACAAGGGATGGATCAATACCGTATTGAAATGTTTTATTTTCCTATTAACGGTATTTTTAACTCATACAATACCGCTTGTTTGTAATAAACACATTTATGTAAATATCGTATAATTATCGAGTTGTTATATTTTCTAACCGTATTATTTCCACGTTTTATTTTTCTCTCTCGTATTATAATATTCCTCGGTGATGTAAAAATTTAATATATCGAATTTCGAAGCTTTCGATCCATTCCCAGGGCGAATCTCGAATTCAAGGATACTTCGATCGAATTAAACACCGTAAATCTTCGGCACTGCTGTGTTCGGATCGTGATATAAGGCTTGGCCGTAAATTCGACATTTTTCGTTCGAAATACGCGACAGTAGCCGTGAAAGCGCGTTCCACTTATTCCAAGGATAAACTAACAATAGGATTGCATAAGTGGAGGAGCGCTTCTCGACGGGGATAAATTTGCGTTAGAAGACGTTTATGGTACACGGGGTAGACGATAATATTACTTGAATTATTCCGCTTACCAGCACACGCATCATTTACTTGTATCAACGTTGCACCGCATCAACACACGCGTGGCTATAAACTTGCGAAGCGTTCCTTGCGAAACTTTGACACAGACGAAGAGTGTTTAAAACTTGTTTAGAACTCGGACAGGAAGAGTTCCCGGAGCCATGTTTCTATGGTCTTTTTCCATCGTTAAAGTGACTAGAGAACATGGTTGGAAAGTTTGGTCACCTACTTCAGGATCGTCTTCTATATTCTTATATTCGAAACGAGTTCGCGTGTCCGTGTCTCTTTCCTCCTTTTTTATTTTGCCTTCTTCGAAGATAAACGTGTAAAGGTTACGACGATGCTTGTACACCGTGTTTTAACATGCAAGGACAATATGGCAACTTTCAGTGGCGTAAGAGGTTATCCCGTTCAACTTTCTCTGGGAGATAAATCCGAGCCGACATTGCTATCCAATAAAAATTAAATTTCGTTACAAATCTGCTAAGAAATCCGTTTCCTAGTCTAAAATCAGCGATCTCTTAATTTCGGTGCACACTGTGCACTTAAATTCCCTTCTTCTGGTAATCGAGATAATTAAATATCAATTTAAGATTATATTATGAAATATTTACTTGGATCTCATTCGTTCAAAATGTAGTATTTATGATCATGATTGTGGACCTCTTCGATGCAAGCTTAACCTTAAATCTCTCGAATCGGGAAGAATCGCTGACGATCTTTTGTTTCTCTTCAAAATTATGAATATTGCTATTATATGCAGTCCAAAATTATTATCTTTCGTTAATTTTCATGCTTCTTCAAGAAATTTAAGAGGCTTTCGAATCTTTATACCTGATCAGCATAATACCACCAGCACGACTCGAATTAGTAGACCCTATCGATAGAATATGCATTCTTGCAAACAATTTCTCATCAGACTTTCAATTTTTTGGCAATAGTATCTTTTCGTTTAAAAACCAGATCTTAAATCTGTAAGCAAATTGTCTATATCCATTGTCATGTATTGTATTGCCATTTGTCAATTGTCAAATATCGGCTATATCTAACCTATATCTAACCTAACCTAACCTATATTCTTTCTCTCACTAACAGAGTGACGTATGTTTAAATATTTTGTTTATACACTAATGGGTTCTACTTACGGGTGAATTATTATTAAATAAATAAATAAAAATGGCGTCCATTCGGTAAATCTGCTAAAATATTCTGCTGGATTTTATACGATATTATTCCACTTCTGTGATCTCTTTCGTTGAAAATGGCGGCCAGTGGGTAACTTAGAAACGAAGTTGCACGAGACCTAACTGTTCTTACCGTCTTTGCATGTTAAGCGTGTACTTAACGCAAGCTCGTAAATTAAGAATGCAAGTCCGTAAGAATGTAAACACCGTGGCTTTCCGTCAGACTTACGCTCCTTCTTCTACTTGCGCCGAAAGAAACGCGGTAATTAATATTTATTAGCGATCAGAGGACGAAATTGGAAAGCCGGAAACAGCGGTCGTATACGATTCCCTCATCAATTCGAGGCAGGCAAAAAGCGACGAACGGGTAGGAGCTTTTTACCATCCAGCCAACGGACGCATCGCGAGAATTATTAATCCCTTCTCCGATACGTGACGCGGTCTATTGTTAGATTTTTGGTCTATGGCGCGGACGTTTCTTCCTCGTCGGATGGAACAAAAAGCGAAATAAAGCAACAGACACGTTCCCAGTGACGAAGTGAAATTCAACCGTGTCTGGCTGGAAATTCGCGAGCTCCTGGCTGAATGCGGACAGAGGGAGCACGGTGGAAAAAGCGCGTGGAATACGGTGGCTGGAAAAAGAGAGAGACCTGGCCCGACTTCCCGATCTCGCGCGATCAATCTTCTTTCCCTTGTCTACGGTTAATTTATCGTGCGTCGATCGGGCAAGCCGGAGTCGTTGCTCTCCTCTCTAGCTAGGACCCAAGGTGGTTCGTGGAAGAAAGCGTATTAGGAGTACATCCAATTTATTTGCACGATAAGTATCGTCAGAACAGGTCGATCCAGCACGCGCCACGCGCTGTTTTTCACCCGATGTAACCCACGAGCCAGGTGGATCGTGGTGGGCGACCTGCGAGCCCGGGTCGCAATCAACAAAGTAGAGTAATTGCCTCTTTGTTCGTGTCTCGCGATACAGCGATCGGGAAGAGGGCTATAATTCAAGCCGCGGGGAAAAATTTGCAAGTACAACTCTGTTCCGATGTTCGATGGTAACTTGGCGGAGCGAGTAATCTCTTCGTCGATTGCCGAAGTGCAATCGTGATCTAGGAAATTCTACACCGGACGGAATTCGTTTATCTCTGGGAACCGAGTCCGTTGAAGTCGTGGGTAACCAGCGTTTCTATCTTTCTCGCGCCAGCTCCCGCTCAATTACGATTGTCGTGCCATTAATTTCCGCGGAGAAAGCGATAAATTAGTAAATCCCGCTTCTCGCTCCTGCGTTATGTCCCATCGATCGCTCGCGGGCTTTTCGAGAATTCCTTTCGCAACTTTCACGGCACTTTTAACCTCGCCGATATTCCCCAGGAACGAGAAGATTTCATTCGAATCCCAGGTCTTCCAATCCTTTCCACCGCCATTTTGTCGTTCCTTGGTCCCCCGAACGATTATTCCGTTCTCTGATGCTAAGCGCAGTGCACAGTACTTTGGGTAAATAAGAATCACGAGTGGTAAATAACAATTTGGATTTATATTTTTGCTAACAAACGCTTGATAGCTGTCCAATTGGTCTTTGAGAGTTGACATTTTGAATAGGTATAGGCTCTAAAATTTTAAAAGAGTATTTTCTCGCACTCCGTGATAAGCAGAAGCAACTGAGTTCGTAGCTTTGATATTTATCACGGATTCGAGGATAAAATCCACGTTACTAGGAATAAAGTCGTATGGAAGCCTTTGGTTATTCCTCGGTACCTGGTACTCGATTAAACCACGCTTCTAAACCACGTTTCGCGTTGCACTTGCATCGCATAGAACGGAAAACACGGGAACAAATGCAGAGTCACCGGGTCGACCGCGAGTGCCGCAAGAGTAATCGTTTTCAATCGTGTTCCAGGGTAGCGAAGCACAATGGTCGTTGACAGAAAGTCAGCGGCAAAGGTACGTTTAATTCCACGCGCGATAAGTATCAGAAGAACAAGCGGGGGGACGCGGGGGTGCGAAGGGGTCGCGGCTCTATGGGTTCGCGGCCCTTAAGTACGCAATCGGACGATTATACAAGGGTCGCGTGTCACCAGACACTTAGTCCTGCTTCTCTTTCGACGTACATGTTTCGTGGTTGTACACACCGGCTCGGGTGAAACTTCTCTGACGAGTGATACCGCGTAGCGAAACCTCTACCGGTCCTCCACCTGCCCTCCGAAGGCTCCCCGTCGTCGCAATCTGGGTTACCTCTGTACAGGGATCATTCCTCTCTCTGACCCTCTCTCCCGTCCTCTCTTTAACCCTCTTCCCCCTCGCGAATCGTGAAATTCACGCGGCTCGTATAATCCGTTCTAACGGCCGCGACCGCGGACGGATTAGACTTTTATAGCACGCATAAATTCCGTCGCGGATAGAGTCGCGGTATGTATCGGGATCGACGGTTTATCGCCGCCATTTCGATTATTGTAATAGCGCGAACCGGACGGGTTGCCGACGCGAAATATCAACGGAAACGGAAACCGATAGCGCAACTTTTTGATGGCGAATCAGCGGCTTCATGGAGACCGACGGGTCGCCTGGCTACGATACCATCGCCACGCTCGACACTAGCGCCGCCGCTGCCGCTAACTCCGTCGCCGCGGTTTCACGGGCAAACTGGGCATTCGCGTGCAAATAAATTCGCTTTATCTACGAGCAGGCGACGTCGGTTTCCGGTTCCTGCTTTTTCCAAGGAACGGGAACGAGATGGCGGGGTCCCTTCGTTTTTCGGGAGGAATTAGAATTGAGGAATTCGTAATTGCGCGATTCACTGTGCACGATTGTCCTTTGGTTCGTTTCTTTCGGTCATTCGCTTCGTGTCTAGTTTAAGAACGGTTTGGAGGTTTGGAATTGTGGACGGTCGTGGTGGATTCGTGGAAGGAAAGTTAGGTGGACAGCGGAGGATTTAATTAGCGGTGTTTCATTTGGAGCGTGTTGGATGGTTCGTGACAAAGACTTACCGATTTATTACCAAGGTGTCGCACTTTGCACGGCAAGTAAGCGTGACTCCCCAACTGAGCCGTGATGTTCGTGGGGGTGCTGGAGTCGAAGTGCGGCTCCGTGTAAATCCCGTCGAACCTCTTCACTAACGAATGGGATCTTGTGCTCACGCCTGAAATATTCGATCGAGTTTTAGTCAAGGCGGTATCAAAATGTCCGTCACAGAACCCCTGTATTCCCAACTTAAATAGCAATTCACGGAACAAGGCTTCGCTTTTAAAACCCGTTTTATCACGTTCGAGTATTTTCGATGTGTCTGTTCAAATTACACGGGGGAAATTTAATCCCACGTGACCTCTGTCGTACGAATAACTTAAAAATAACGATCCCGCGACCTGTATCTAGCACTTGAAATAGTAATGGCGCTCCGAGTGGTTTTTCCACCCAACCTTAATGTAAACCCCGATATTAGTGTATTATTAACGGATAAATCGAGGAAGAAATATTCAGATGCCCGGTTTTCATCTGAAATTTGCAAGCATCGCTTCACGCGACGAGAAATATTCATCGTGGCACACTTGTCAGCAGTGTGGCGACATCGTCGTTCGGCAAATTCGCAGAAGGGTGCGAGGTCTTTTTTTTCCTCCTCCCTGCCCGTAATCCTATTGCAGACACGAAACGTTGAATACCAGGCAAGGTTCACTTTTAACTGAGCCCCCGAACGTCGGTTAAGTCCGAGGAGAATGCATTAACATGGCGGCTGCAGCGCGCGAGCTTGTTATCCTGAACGAATTTACATTGTACGGGCACCGGTAGCGTTTCCATGATGGAATAATAAAAGGATCGCGGGAATATAGCGTATTTCGCATTCGTGACGTTCATGCACGTCCTTCTCTCGCTCCTCCTCACTCGCAGCCCGCATCTCCTTTTCACTCTTTGCCTTTGGGGATAAATCCTATCAGAGAGCTTCTCTGCCAGGCCATCGTGCAACGGAGAAATGGATACTAATCCAGAGGATTCCGATCCGAGGTATCCAAAGTCGGATCAGCTATTCGGCCCGGAAAGTAACCGTGGGCTTCGTTCCAACGACCTTGAGGGCCCGCTTCCGGTCTAGCGGTCACCGAAGAGAGGATGCGTTTCGACGTTCCTCCATTTTCTCGCTTCGCAGCGATACATAGAGCGGAAATATCGGCGGAAGATCGAAATGCGTGTGCCGGAAATTACCACAGCATCGGGCACCAATGCCTGGGAAGCGACGCATCGAAAAGACCGGGAACGATATCGCGGTGCATAGAAAGTCCGTAGCGCCACGGTGTCTGTGGGAATTGAAAAGGAGCCTTCCGATTTATCGTCCACGCTTCGAGTCTCTCGAAAGTCTATAGAGAGCTGCACGGAGGAGGCGAGGAAAAGAAGAGGAACTCGATAAAACAGCTACTCGAACAGGAAGTTTCTTTGCGCCTGCCCAGGGACAGAGGCACTGTTGGCAGCTGGTCGCGCGCGTCAACGGGGCTCGGCTCACGGGCTTGCCAAATGACTCTAAACGCGTTGCGTTGTCACGAACATTTAGCGGGAATAAAGGAAACGTTCGATGGATATCGGCGCCTCGCGCGAAGATTCATGGTAACGGCGGATTGCGTGAAACCGAGGTATTCATCCTGCGCTCGGTGCGCGCGGTCTCATGGCTATTTATGTAGCATTCGTAACGAGGAAAACAATTGGCCGAAGCGGCACTCGGATACGGTTCTTTCATTTATTGGACCGCCGCTCTATTGATTGAGTTATTCAGGTCATCAACAACTTTTTCTTCCCGGTCTGCTGCTCGAAAATAGCTGCTATCGACGTATTACTTTTCACGTTTCCTCGCTACTTTTTGGCCTTTCCACGACAAACTGCGAAACCTACTTTTTCTCTGCCCTCTTCTCCGATCGTGGCATTATCGCCGTTGCTCCTGTCATCGATTCTTTGCTTCCATTCTTTTATCCCGCAATTTTTATTACGTCTCTGGTCCACGGGAACCCTGCGTGGTGCCAATTAACTCGAGATTAATTCTTCGCGGTGAGTAACACAGTGACACCATCTAGCGTGAACGTTCGGTACTATTTACTCGGGTAAATTCGATATTTTGTTTCATTTTGATACGTAGGGACGAGAAGCTTCGCGTGTTTGATCGGTCGATTATTTCATCCTTGGTGTTATTTTGCAATTGGATGTTTGCTGTCTGAAGAACCGATTTTGACAGAACACTGTAAAAGTAATTTCAGTCTAACGATGCAAATTTCTGTCAGGTTATCGAACAAATTTTTGTAATCACGGGGTTTTGTTTGCCGTTGTTGCTACGCGGAGGAAAGATTGGTGTTCATCCCGAGCGCCATTTTTAACGATCAAGATGGCGACAATCGCGGAGACAGATTTACGGCAGTCGGAGTTAACTCAGCGATTTGTACGTTTGAAAATGGCGTCGCGGCTATTTCACCAGCTCGAGGTAGTGCCAGTCATTACCGCAGTGCAAACAAAAAGTTTCGTGTCGCTGGCAAATGACGTCACTGCAGGGAACGTGTTATGGGAGTATAAGGAGAACGCATTAGAGGTATCGCTGTATTATTCAACATATTTTAACCGGGAGAACGAAAGAACGACGAAGGAAGCTGATATCGTGCCCGTTCTTCTTCGCGTGGGTGCTTCCGCGGACAAGCCAGGATGATAATGCATCGTGACAGCAGACGAAGCGGATAAGGAAGCTCGCGATACACGCCTCGCACTAATTCCTGCGAATTACGTCCAATGTCTGGCCAGCATTCCTCTCTTCTGTCGGAAACTTTATAGCATCGAGGAAGGTGCTCGTTGTCGGAACGGAAAAATACACATCTCCATACTTAACGCGTGAACTCCCACGCGAAACAGCCGCGAAATTGAATCTTCCCCTGGGCGCGAAATGGTGTCGTTTTCTACGACTCGGTGTTAAAATGTCCCATTTAACCACTCGCGCTGGAAGGACGTGCCACGCACGTCGTACTGCTTTTACGATAGAATCGCCAACGAGGTGGTGTGCACGTCGTCCGGTAATTGTCTCAGAAATACTGGATATCAGAAAACTGGCACATGTGTCCGTGAATTTCTGTCTGTCTGTCAATTTCGAACACGAAACCATGACAAATTTGCGACAGGAGCAACTCGCATCAGATTCGGGCCTCTTTTCTACCTACGCGCTGTCAAGCTTCCAAGTCTTTCAGGCTCTCCGGCGGAATTACTCGCAAAGTGTCGGGTCTGGTTCGCGAGCCGAGTTGAAAGCGGACAAAGGTGATTAACTTCCGTTTATTCCCGTTGAATTCGACGGGACATAAAATTCGGGACGAACAAAACATCGTGAATTATAGAATGTCCTGCGACGCTGGGTCGACGGAAAACAGGGCACGCAGAGCCGCGTCGGCAAAAATCGAACGTCCGCATTGGCAAATAGCATCCGGCCAGATAAATCCGCACCCTTTCAATAATGCCGACATTATCATCGCGCACTGATTATCGACGTCGCGTGATCGAGCTAAACGCTGTCAAACGTGGACCAGGAGCTCAGGCTCGCGCGAGCTAGCGGCTGGCTCTCGCCAGTTACGTCCACGACTCGCGATATCCGCAATTGTCCGTCGCAATTCCGTGCTCTCGAGTATCGTCACCATTCCGTCCCGACGTGGCAAATGCTCAGCTGCTCGTTCAAGGCGTCCCGTTACGGAAGCGTTCCGCCGGCTGGAGCGCATCCGGTTTTTAACAGCGTGGCGAAATGCAGCGATCAGCCGCATTACGCTCTCGCCGAGGCGGAATGGCTGCTATTTTCCAGCTAGATTCTAAACCCGCGACGGAAGTTATCGTGCCTCTCGCCTCGAGGATGGATTAAACGTCGTTTACCTAGCTCGCCGTTCTTCGGAAGCGGTTCGAAGGCACACCCCGGCAGAGTGCCTCGGGGATAAAGTTTCATCGAGCACTCGGGGGCGGAAGGAGAAGCTTAAAGGAGCATCTCGAGGACGAAAATGCCAGCTCGGAACGCGCACGACGGTCCGACCAAGCGGAAGGCTACCCTAACCTCTGTCAACCGATGATCGATCGACGATTCTTCCTGATCGCGCTAATTCCCGGTTCCGCGCCGATATCCTTTTAACTCTGCATCTCTGCCAATCGTTGCACGCTCGATGAATCGATTTGCCAACGCGTTTCCGTTCAGACGGCGCGAATTGGATTGGCAATCATTGCGCACCGACCCGACATCGCGTGCACCGGCGACGCGCACGACCAATCCTAGCCCGTCCTCCCAGGACACCCGATCCTACGGACAAGAGGATCCTTCAGGGATGCAAAATTTCGCGGCGCAAGCGCCACGGGGGTGGCGGAGGAAGCTCGCGAAATGGGCATAAATAGACGTCGTAGTGGCTGCCTCTCGCGTCAGCTCTATCACCGTTTTTCGTCGCGGTTTTAAACCCCGGGCTGAATTGTTTCCATGTGCTGGCGATTATCGTTCCCGGCGTTCCTGGAAATCATGTTTCACGCCGGGATTACCAGGCTGCAGGAACAAAGCTGCCGGCTGAGAGGGCAAGGGTGGAAGCTTGGGGAGGAAGAGGAACAAAGCGGCCGATTGTGCGGTCGCTGCAACGCGTCGCTTATGACCGTTCGTAAATTTCAGAGGGAATGAATCATTCACAGAGGCAAACACAAGGTTGAAGTTGTTAGCGATAGAGCGGCGCGCTGGCTGCCGTCGCCGCGCCAATTCTGCATCGGCTACTGTAATTGCATCTTTATCCTCGCAGCGAGCGTATTTTCCAGGAAAAATGGCGAATCTTGCTTCTCCTCTTCTACGATTATCACGAGGAATAGAGTTAACGATAACTCGTTTCCGAATTACGTTGTTACCGAAAATAAATGACCGGACGGTTGCGTTCCTGAGAACTCATCGTTGCTATGTCAACACGCGGAGTTTGGCCATGCCATAAATTCCGGCGGGGTAGCGTCGGATCTAGATTATTTTCACACGAGCGATGGTTATCCGCGCGAAATTTAAACGCCGCTCGTGAACGAAACGTCAATTACACGCGTATCTCGTCCCGCTGTAATCGCCATTTAACGAAATTATGTTTCCTCCTGTAATCAAAACCTGCCCCCGTGCGTTCGAAGGCAGGGGTAGGTCGTCAAGTGTGAACAATTACGCACAGATAGGGGTAGAGTTTCGGTCGGGTGCCGCGAAATCGTCCGGAAAAATAATAAAAGGCGAAGGGAAAGCGCGCGGTAAATTTCTCGGAAATAGAAAGAGGATCTCTGATAGATATTTCCCATGAGAACATGCGGGGGGAGCCGATGCGGAACCGCGTCCCCGCTTTATTAGAACTACGATACACGTACGAGTGTTCGGTGTAATTTTACGCCGTCATCGGGCACTAAACTCGAACATAAATCTGGATCCTCAAGATCGCTCTTTCTCGTCCTGCCAGCCAGGCTAACTCGATTTTCTGTCTTACCAGTTCATCAAACATTTACGTCCGACTACTTCCGTCGCGCGTCGAATTAATGCTTGTCGTTCGATTGTCTGCTGATCCCCGGATATTAAAGGAGTAATTGTTTACCAGGAATATATCCGTCTCGCCTAGGCTTGGAAATTCATCCAATTTAATTAACACTCCGCGAATGGCGTCAGGCGATGATCCAAAAATTACGTGGAAATTCTTGATTAATTTCACGGGAATATCGTTCTAACCGTGTCCAATATCGAGAAATAAATTTTATTTATTCCCGGCAGGCTTTGGTTGCATGCTAAAACGAATATCGTATAATAGGTACCACGAAATTATAATAATCACTGTCGTTTTTAAACGTCGAGTACAAAATGCACCTATGTGCATCTAAACTTTGACCGAAAAATTTTGCCCAGGGATAGCACTACGCGAATAGGAAAATTACGAAACCACCCTCTTGCACGACACGTACGTTGTGCTACCAATTTTTCCCCGTAATTTTATCAAGATTTCATCTTCTGACCGAATAAATTCTCGTGCACTGTCTGATCACGACGCACGATTGCCCGAGTACGTTGGCTATGATTTCACAGCGATCGAAGCAAAGTATCGCGAGATGTATAACAACGCGTAAATAATGGCGGCGCAGGATCCATTCGCTAGGAGTTAGCCGCGGCACACGTCAGACTGGAGAGGAGGATCTAGGAAGCGAAGCCGTGTAAGCGGCGGTGGTTGAAATCCCGAAATCCGCATTCAAAGGTAACTATGTTGGTCGGTTAATCATTGGGAGGTATAATCAGCGGGCGTGCGGCGCGATTATGTTACGGATAGAAAGTGCACAATGGCGTCCTGTCGATGCAGAAATTGTTTTCGTGTTGCGGATTGGAATACGGCTGGGCGCCCAGTTCGAAACCAATTAAGAGTATGTTCCGGGGGTAGAGAGCGGCCGGCGCGAGAATTCGGTAAATTGTTTAACAAAATTACCTACTGCACGTTAGTTGCGTTAATGGGATCGATTTGTGCTCCGCTCGCAAGTTCTACGAGTGTCGTTTAGTCCGCGGTTTGGCAGCCTTTCGCGTGTATTTCACCGGTTCCCGCTTCCTCTCTCTTACACCCTCGCGGTTCGTTCGATAACAGCCGTGTCGAAAGCGACGAATGGAACGTATTTATAAAGCGACCGACACGGATAATGAACGGGCCGATCGACAACAACTCGATGCCCACTTTGCATACTGAAATGGTTCCTTGTTGCCTGCGCGCGATCGATAAGAAAAAGCACCGTCGGACACGAGGCGTGCTTGATAAATCCTCTTTAACCGGGTCCCTTCCTCTCTCTCCTCTCTCTCTCTCTCTCTCATTTTTTTTTGTTTCTCCCCGCGAGACAAGAGTCCTGAGAAGAGTCCTTGAGCATAAAGGAGAAATTATTGGCAGACGGACGAGAGGGTGTGCTGTGGCAGCCTCTGTATCAAGGGGGAACCGGTATCCTGGAAGATCATTAAGATAAAACATGTCGAGGGTAGCGATCCGTGAATTAATGGAGCTGCCATTGAATCAGCAGAAAAACGCACGATGCAATTAACACGCTTATGGTGCGGCTGACAGGCATTTCCATAAGGGTTACGTAAGCCTGCAACGAAGACGCGGGTAATTGCACGGATTCGCGGCGTGACCCGTTTAAGAGACGAACGGATCCGGCTGTAATATCTGCACGATAAACTGGATGGCAGTAAATGCCTGTGTTGTGACCGATATAATTAAGTTTAAAGTCGCGACAGTGTGCTAGAGCACGAAGAACGCCGATACGTAGGGGGTTCTAGCAATCGACTGTCATAATCACCGCGATAAGCCCGGGATCGCGTGGAAAAGTCGTAGCTGCTCGCAGGGAAACGTTGAGCGAAGAGAGTGTATGGAATAAAAGGAAGAAAAGCTAAGCGTATCGCGGCGATGCAGCCGCGCGAGAGATGAAATCGATAGACACGTCCCTGAACGACGTCAGAGCGAAGATGAGGGAACACGCTACCCTTCTGCCTTCACCTCGCCCCCCTGTATATTCCCCGATGACGGAATCATCGAGTCGACACGGTGACCCGACAAGGATGGCGAAGAAAAAAGAGGAACGGAGCGATCGGTAGGACAAAGAGGAGCACAGGGAAAATACAATACCGTCGCGGCGACAAACAAGGGTGGCGCTAGATACAGCCCTGGACCGGGTCCGGAAGCAGCCCCCTCCCTCCTCCTGCCTACTAGTCCTCCTTTTTCCCTCCACTCGCGTATCTCGATCCTCTCTCGCGTTCATCGATCGCGAATACGCACGATCAGCTGCCAAATCCTCGACGCGGAATCGCACCTTGCCAGCACACGGGCTTGCACGCGTGCTAATTCACGTACGCACAGTTACACCCCAAAATCTGATCGATCCATCCGCAGTACAAGTCTCCGGTACAGCCCCGCCTGGCCCCTTCCACCCCCTTCTCCGGTCCTTTTCGCGTCACCCGGCCCCCCTTTTTCAGCCCGAAAAAGAAGTATATTGGCAGTCCACCGGAGACCTGGACCTAGGGCACACTACATGGCACGATTACCGGAGAGAGCACGTTCTTCGACCCTCGCGATTATCAGAGTCAGCGCGGACACTTTCCCGCGGGAATCTCGAAAGATCGATGCACGATCCGCGACAGAGAGAAAGAGAGAGAGAGAGAGAGAGAGAGTGAGAGAGGGAGAAAGAGAGAAAGAGAGTAGGTTGTCACTCGTCAGTGGACTGGAACATATGTCGCGCGGGTGATATAGATCTTACCGGTGATGCCGAGGAGAATCCAGTACACGAGGCACAGGACGTAGTAGTTCACGTAAGAGGATCTCCTCATGATGACGAAGACAGTGGTGACGACGACGACGACCACGACGACGACGGCGACGACCACGACAACGACGACGCAGTTACCTTCGACGGGTCCACTGACATCTCAAAACAACCAGCACACCAAGCCCGGTGCACCGTCTCACTCCTAGACCTCAGTCGTCACTCTGTTCATCCTCCTTGGACTCGGCGCTACCAGACCTCGTGCATAGTATTCTTTTCACCTCCGACGTCCCTTCTCCCTGGCCGCGCACAATTGCCCCTGACAGATACACCACAGCGGATCGGTGTCGCACTGATCACATATTATCTCCCAATTGAATCCTCGGTTACGCACCTATTACGATCCCACCGCGATATATGCTCGCGTGCCCGTTGCCTCGGCGAGCCGCTCGCGTACGTTTTTCAAACGCGCGTTCAAGGTCTTCACGGCGCGTTCCGTGGACCGGGAAATTGAAACAACACGGTATACGAGAGACGTCACCGCGGGGGCTAGTGTCGTCGCGTGATATGGCCCCTTTTCCGACCGATCCTTCAAACACGGCTAACTACGACCGAGTTTTGCGTACGGGTCGTCTGCGGTTCGTCGTCCCGGGCGAAGCTCTGAAACCGCCGGGCCTCCAGTGGCACTGCCCGCGCCCGCCCGGGGATTCCGCGCAGGCGTGCTCTTTCTCCTCTACTCTGCCGATCAGTCAGCCTCCTCCTTCCTCCAGGCCTCCTACTCTCTCGCTGTCCTCCTTCCTTCTTAGCCCTTTCTCCTTCTCGGTCTTCTTCCCTGATTACTACTACCACTACCAACACCACCACCACTACCAGCAACCTCGTTGTCGTCTTCGTCGTCGTTCTCGTTGTGTCGTCGTCACCACTGCCACCGACACTGCTACTGCTGCTACTGCTGCTGCTGCTGCTGCTGCTGCTCACTGTATTACTACCACCGACCTGGTCTAGGTTGCTGCTACTGCTACTGCTGCTACTGCTACTGCTGGTGCTGCTAGTGCTGCTGCTCGTGCAGCCCGTTGCTTCGTCTTGCACGCTTCTTGCTCTTTCCAGCCGCTACGGACGTCTTTCGTCCATCCTCTGAACAAATTTTACGCTTCTCACGATGTTAACCTTCGTATTCCCGTCCTGGCTTCACCGACCAGGGATGCCCGGCTTGAAAATAGCAGGCTCCGGGGACTTTTTGTTGGTCTTCTTTCCCCGAGTCTCCGGGAGGATTTGTAAATTTGCGGTTCGTCGATTGACCAGCAGCGGTTTCGTTAGCCGGCACAGCCTGGAGTTTAAACGAATTCTGGCCGATTGGAAGCGACGGCCCGCCCCGCGTCCTATCCGCGGAGTCTTTTAATCAGCTTTCGCTTTGGCTTCTTCGCTGTTTACGATTCTTAATTTAGCCGCGGCTGATTACTGTCCCCGGCGCTTTTAATACAGCACCACCATCGCCACCTAGCTCACCTCCGTTCCTTTCTGGCCGCCTCCGGCTTCCGCGGAAGTTCATAGCCTCTTCGCCTTGTTCCATCCGCCACCCTCCAGCCGCCGGACGCGGTATTCCGAGGCTCGTATCGTCTCTAGTTTGCGGAGAAGACGGAGAAGACAGCCCCGGGACTGCGGCTGCACGCTCGTTCCCGGGCCAGTCTCTCTCTCTCTCTCTCTCTCTGTCTCTGGCTCTGTCTGACAGAATTTGATCGTATTTCCTTTTATTTTCCTTCGAAAATATCGGCCGGCTCGGCGCGTTTGTTTCGTTTTTGTCGCCTAGCTGAAGATTATCTGGTAGACGGCCTCCATGGAAAGCGTAATGAATCCTCCTTAGGATTCTTCCGACCTATTTCTCGCCCGCAGCCCGCGCTGTCGCTTCTCTTTCTTCTGTTCTTCCTCGTCTACCGTGATTACCATTAGTTTCGCCTCTGTTATCTCTCCCCGCCGTTTTCGGGTCGCTTACGATTATTGCATTTTTCTCCGCCAGCCCGGCCACCTTGTTCCGCCTTCTCGCTCTCCGAGCTTCCAGCTTCTTGTCGCGTTAATCTTATTCAATTGGGGTAGCCGGATCGACCAGGGGTATTAGATAGCCCGCTAACGAAATTAATTGATCTTCATCGGTTAGAATTCCAGGGTACATACGTTTAAGTCGATCGTGATTAATGGCCAGCCTTTCGGCCCCGGCCGGAGGATTTCGAATTAATTTCGTTGTAATAAAAGTCAGAGACTCGCTACCTATCCTTTTACCTTCAATTACGCCCCGGTCTCTTATTCGATACCTCTTTTTTCTCCCTTTTGCTTCTCCTCCTGCTCTCTCGGCCCCCCGGTTCCCTTTCTTCCTGCTTTCTCCGCGCGTGCGTGTGCATGTAAGCGGGTGTCTGTTTCTTTTTTTCCTTCTTTCCTCTTCGGTTCCCTTCCCCCGACTCCTTCCGTGTCGACTCTCCTCATTGTACATTATCCGTGCAAGTTGGATTGCACTGAAAGCTTTTTCTCAAAAGCAAACGCGGAGAGACCCCCAGCCGGCGCAGACTGATCACTCCTCCGCTCGGTCGGGTGGTTTATTTAGTCCCCGGCTTAATTATGACAAACATTACTTCGAGTTCAGCATTTTGAGCGCTACTCCGTGGCCGGTTTTTCTCCCGTAAGCCTCGGCTTTCTTTTTTGTCGCGGACAAATTGTGTGTCCTTTACGACGTTAACCTTATTCTCTGGAGACCGAAATGCTACATATTTCCTCGTAAAAGAAGTACTTTCTTTTCCCTCCCCGCCCCCTCTTCCACTCCACCTCGCGTGCCCTTTGCTCGACGAAACATATTTTAAAACGTCTTCCGCGAAGAAACGCCGACTATTCCCGCGGGGATGAAATATGTGACGCTGTATTACGTTCCAAAGCGTCGCAACGTTTAATTGTGCCTCGACAACTTCGTCCGAAACGTCCTCGTCGCGTCCGAATAAAAATTGAATCGCGATCTTGGTGTATGACCACGTGTGAGGCTCGTGGTCAGTTGTTCGAGCCGAAGCTGTTTATCACGAGCCTGGCTCGTGGTACATCGGTCGGGTCGAAATTGACTATCACGGGTCTGGCACGTGCCACGTCGGTTGGGTCGAAATTGACTATCACGGGCCTGGCACGTGGTACGTCGGTCGGGCCAAATGTAAACACCACGTGTCACGCCCGCTTCAGTTGTTAACCTTCATTGTTTGTCGTTTAATTTAACATATCGTTTAGTTTTAACCTCTTAGGCACGAGGCGTCACTATAGTGGCTTTCGCGGATGTTATCTTTTTAAACGACGCGCCGCTATAGTGGCGCACTCTAGTGGCTCAATCGCTCACCGTTTGAATTAAATTACCGTTTATGCGATTTGTTTCACGCTTCTTTTGCCTTCGCAACGTTTTATAACAGTGTTGACAATATATAAACAGAATATAGTCTCTGTTCCTGATACGCCAGTGTCAGGTGTGCAGTGCTGTATCATTTACGGAGTAATTCGCGTTGAATTCCACGGAGAAACAGTCCCGAACAAAAATCAATCGTGGCTAAGAGGTTAATCGTTTGTTTCCAATTTTCCACTCGTATTTTTGCAATTTATCAAATTAACTTTTCCCGAATTATATTTTTCTAATAGCCACGACAACCCGGCTAGCAAGTCGTGCGTGATCGGTACAATTTAAAATAGCTTCGCCGAGTCGTGGAATAGCTCGAAGGCTGCCCAGTTCTGTTTACGTTTTGGGACCACGCTGTTGAATTCAAAATCCTAAGGCAGGGGATTAACGCGACACACGTCGGTCTGTTTAACCCGTCCGAATCTGCGCCCCTCGTAAAAGCTCGGTTCCCCGGGAGATAAGCATCCACCTCGTGCAAACGTTACAGGTGCCAAGGGCTGATGCTAATCCGTGTGACAAGAACCTGGGTCCCCATTAGGGCCTGCGACTGCGGGAAAAGAGAGCCGGCCCCCAACCCCGTTCATTTAAACTTTCTTCCACACTTTCATTGTCGCCGTCCGGACACCCCTTCATTCTTTTATCACCCCTCCTCCCCCGTTTTTTCATCACTGTTCGCCATGCCCTTTTGAGCAATCCACGATCTTTTGTAGCCCCCGCTGAAAATTTTACACTCCTTTCATCTGCCACGCGGCCGTGCGCCATAATTATTCGCGAAAAAGAGGCACTCGGGCCTTCTCCACGGTTTATTCTTATCGTACGCATAGTTGATTAACTCCGTGGCTCGGCCATTCGCGTTTATATAAGTACAGATCCGCGGGCCTCGTGGCCCGGCCGCGTTAAGCTCGTTTAATATCTCGTGCAACGATACCACTATTAGCGATCTTTCCACTATTAACTCTGCCTTATAAAGAAACAAGCTCGAGAAAATATGGAAAGGAGGGTTGTTGGCTAAACGAGAAGGGAAGATTAACGAGAGCAACGTGACGGAGCTCGGGGATCGTTTTCTCTCGAATTATCGGTTATTAGGCGAAACCGGTCGTTCGGTAGACGGTTTCCCCGTGGCGCGCGTAATTTTTCATCCCCGTCCGTGATTACGATAATGCGCGAGTCCTCGGATCGCGCGGCGACACGCGAGCACCCAGCGCGATCCACCCCCCGGACGCGGAAGCCGCGCTCGGCCTCCTCTCCGCGTGCAAATATGGATCCGGAATCGAGGTTTACCCTCGTATCGTAGCCCACGGCAGTCTGCCTTGCACCCTTCGGAACGTAGCCCCGGCGACATTAACTTTCCAGATACGCCGGAGACTGTTCGATCAGAATTCGTAATTTCGAATAATCGACGACAGGGGTAGTAGGGGTGGTCCTCTCTCTGTTCGCCGGGAAATTTAGAGCGGGTGTCCCGAATATGTAAGCTCTTTCGCCCCGTTTCCCTTCCACGCGGCCCGTCGAGATTAACCTTCATCGTCGGAAGTAAGTTTTCGAATCTCGGTTAAGTTTCCGACGTCGAGGAATTTGCATGGTGCGGTAGACTGGCATTTGGTAAATTACGGAACTTTTCTCCGTCCGCGATCCGCCGTTATCTTCGTCTGCCACCGCCGTTTCCCTTCTTCTTCTCCGCCCCCTATCGATCTTCTCCTTTCCTTCTATCCCGCGCCGTTCTTTTAATTTTCCACCCGTTTCTTTCACTTTCTTCCGCTCAGCGCCCTCTGTCGCCTTCGTTGCGTCCACTCTGCTCTTT